GTAGAAGCTTGTTGGCTTCATCATCTGATTTCATAATTGGTCCTGTAGCGCTTTAAAACAGCAAAAGTCACCACAGAGGAAAGAAAATGGCTGCAGCGTTCAGACTTATGTACTGGTATAACCTCTGTAACTGAATCACAACCTGCTCACTTCTTGTTTCTTAACTTTAGTGTTAATGCTCCTGATGCTTTGTGGATAGAAGTTTATTTAAAAGCAGCTCTGTGGATCAGCAGAACGCAACAGAAAGTAAAAAAAAAACAAGCTGCACTGGGTAGAAGAAGAACAAGGATAAAACTGCACTGTAAATAGTGTCATAAAAGAGCAGTTGTTAAACGTGAGACATTCGATTCGTCTAACGAGGTGTTTTTTCGCCTCCTCTTTCCTCAAGATGAACAGAGAAACCGGAACGTGTCTTTGGAAGCGGTTGTGTCGAGTTAAGTGGAGGAACGAAACCACCGACGAGGCAGAAAGAGGAGAAAACCTGGAGAGCTGCAGGTTATCTTGTAATCAAGTAACAGAGGGACCTAAATGGGCTTTTATTAAAGGAAGAGCTTCTGATTTACATTTGAATCTCGGCACAAACTGTTCGCCCAAACAAAGAGATTTTAAAGACAAAACAGGAACACGGAGACCTCGAAGCTTCACGGCTTTGACTGACGAGCAATTATAGTTTTTTTCTGTGTGAGATCTCTGGAAACAGTTTAAATGCAGATAGAACAGGTGCACAAACACTTTGTATTCCCAGGAAGACAAGCCAGCTGCTACTCACAGATTCCGTGCAGCATCCACTTGGGCTTGTTCTTCCACCAGACGCCGACCAGGTAGAAGGGGATGCCGGTGCCGATGATGCCGAAGCCGATGGCGCACTCGACCGGCGTCTTCCAGAAGGAGACGATGATGAGGAAGAGGCAGGCGAGGACGAAGCTCACCGGCAGCAGGATGTTCACCTGCAGGGCAGAGACGGAGGACGGAGCTTTATTAAAGGATTTATAGAAATGTTCTCCGTCGCTGTCTGATGAGAACACGGACACGAGGACTGTTTCATTAGCTGAACGTTTGAGCACAAAACACCCACAAAATCACAATATGCTGCTTTTTTATTTGGTTCTTGTACCAATTAAGATTAGAAAATGTGCACTGGTGCATCAGGAACGGAGAGGACGCAAACATTTAAGGAATTCTGTACAAAAAAAAATAAAAATCTGTCTAATTAGTTAAGCACTATATAAATATATCGACCATCCAGCATCATGAAGTGCTTAAATTCACTCTCAACTCTCCACGTTTTACCGTTTTGAACAGGAACGAGGACTTTCAGGAAGTTAGACGTTAATCAACCACTGAAAGTACATTTTTCTGTTCAGGAATGTAACTACATAATTATAATCTGACTTATTAACCAAGTTATAATAATAATGTGCTTTACTGCTTTTTCTGTTTCTTAATAAAACAGTAAATGTGAAAACTCATGGACAACAATAATATTAGATTATATTTTGTGTTGAAGAGCTTCTACATGCTGCTGTATGAACCGTTACAGATGATTGTGGTCGTCACCAGTGCTGTTCATTTAGAGCAGCTGTGGCATAAACCTGACGCTGGCTGGTGGCTTGTTTAGCACTTTATATACGTACTAGTTGTAGAAATAACAGTATTGCACAAATTATTGGTACTGCACAGATTCTTTCATTACAGAAATGCAGAGAGACGTATGAATATCGCACAGCTTTGCTTGTAAGTAGAAAAACAACATCATTGCACATATTCTAGTGTAGGAAGGAAATGAGATATTTCATTTTAACAAAGTTTTATAGACACAAACTCTATTTAAATTCATTTTATTCTATTTTATATGTATTCCGTGTTGCCCTGCTGTGAGTTACCACACAAGGTTCATTATATTTTGCACGACGACAATAAAAAAACCTCTATCGCTGTTCCCTGTCTCGATGCTAAGCTAAGCTAACTAGCTGCTATCTTTTCATCCACATGTCAGCCTGTTCTGCTCTATTCACCAGCACCTCAGCGCACCTGCTGCTTGTTCCTGGGAAAATGGTCGCTGATGCAAAGACTTGAACCAAAACAGTGAAAGTACAAAGCAGGAAGCCAAAACAACGAGCTGAAGGACACGAGGACATGAGGACTCGGTGGACCGGGTGGGAACGGCAGAGCTGCTGATACGTCTGAGTGAGAGCTGCAGTCAGCGTGATGACTATTAAAGTAATAACAGCATGGAGGTAAAGTAAGAACTCTGCTTCTCTGCAATAATCATCATGAGTCCTTCTTTTTGTTTTTGGCTCTAAACTCCTTTTATTAACTTTTTTTTTTTGGCCTTTATTTGATCGTGCAGTCAAGAGAGAGAGACAGGAAAGTATAGGGGAGGAGAATGAGGGACGGACCTGCAGAAAAGGGCCATGAGCGGGATTCGAACTCATGACCTCCGCGTTGGGGACTGTAGCCCCTGAACAGCTCAACCAGGTGAGATACAGCAGCGCCCTAAACTCCTTTATTTTAAAAGGTGCTGCATGAACAAAGTTATTCTTACTACTTTTGCTTTGAGGCTGTTTTTCCGTCCTCCTTGAATCCAGCTCTGCAGCAACCTGCTTCAGCACCGTTACCCCTAAAAGAAACCCACAACCCATACAAACACTTTAGAGACGAACTAAAACACCGACTGAGTGAAGTTCCAGCGGCTGAATGCGAACAAACCCTGCAGCCAGGTTCAGGAGCCTGCTGGAATGTCTTCTTGGACTAAAGGAGGCCGTTGTTACAGGAGATTAACTTCCATGGTTTTAGAAGCGCAGCGTTCGTACCTTCGACTGACACCTAACCGGGTCGCTCCTGATGAGTTCATAAATCCGACTGCGCGGCTCTCTGGCAGCTCGGCCACAAATCTGCTGAGCAGCAGGAATGCGGCGGACAAAGAGAAGGAGGAAGAGCCGGAGCTGGAGGTCAGCGGAGACACAGAGCCGCCGCTGTCCCACCGACGGACCCGTCCGCCTCTTCTGTCCACCGCCTCCGACCCAGCGAGCCGACGCCGGAGTCAGAGCGAGCGCTGAGCAGAGAGCTGCAACAATAGTGGTCTGTGTTCGGTGGAGTCCTGTTGATGTGTCGGTCGCTTCAGAGGACGTTAAACTGGCTCACGTCGATCAAACTAGGAGTTTAAGTTCTGTTGTTAAAAAGGCTGNTGCATTTCACGCTTGTATTCATTTGGCCTTTATTTCACCAGACAAAGACTAAATAACTTTAAGAATCTCTTGTTCCTCACGGTAAGCCTTGACCTTGGTGCTGCTGGAGGAAAAGTCTGTGAGTTCTGAAAAGCTCGATCTTGTTTAAAGTCATGACGTATGTGGACGATCTTTTATTTTGTGGGTCAGAATTAGCAGGAACAGCGCGCTGGCTGCTACAGGAGGACATCCTGGTGTTCTTTTGCATATTGCAAATTTGCATACTATTCACGTTCCTCTTTCTATTTTCGTCTTTAATTTAACCAGGAAATAGGCCAATAAATCTCTTTCACAGGGGCGTCCTGGTAGGTAGCAGCAGACACCGATATAAAACTATTTAAATATGGTTTACGTGAAGATTAAAAGTGTTACAGAATCATTCAATCCAAACAGTTGCTTTGAAGTCATTTAGTTTGATGAAATCTTTCAGATTCTTACTTGAAAAGCAAACAGATCGGATGTATGGAAACGTACATATTTTTTATACAGTTTGTTTGTCTAGAAAACAAACAGATGCATCTTTTTTTTTATTGGAAATCTGTTGGATGCTGCAGCGGATTC